TCAAGTTGCACTACAAAGTCGCCAGTTCTCAGCTTCCAGCTCCACAGCTTGCTCCGCGTACTAAAGTTGTACTACAAAGTCGCCAGTTCCAGCTCCCCAGATACTCCGGGCACTCGACTTGTTTGTACTACAAAGTCGCCAGTTCTCAGCTTCCAGCTCCACAGATTGCTCCGCGTGCTAAAGTTGCACATGCACTACAGAGTCGACATGCACGATCTCCGCAGAGGGTTGCGCCGGACCGGGCCAAAACGCACCCTAGCCTGCATTTCGCGCCCTCGACAGGCACGATCTCCGCAGAGGGTTGCCCGCGCCAAATCCAAAACGCACTCTCGCCTGCATTTCGCGCCCTCGACACGCATGATCTCCACAGAGGGTTGCGAATCGCACTCTCGCCTGCGTTTCGCGCATCCGACACGCACGATCTCCGCAGAGGGTTGCGCCGGACAAAACCAAATCGCACTCTTGCCTGCACTTCGCGTCCTCGACACGCACGATCTCCGCAGAGGGTTGCGCCGGACCGGGACAAGTCGCACTCTCGCCTGCATTTCGCGCTCCCGACACGCACGATCTCCGCAGAGGGTTGCCCGCGACCGGGACAAATCGCACTCTTGCCTGCGTTTCGCGCGCTCGACACGCACGAGCTCGAGTTGCGCCGGACCGGGTCAAATCGCACTCTCGCCTGCATTTCGCGCACTCGACACGCACGATCCCCGCAGAGGGTTGCCCGCGACCGGGACAAATCACACTCTCGCCTGCATTTCGCGCCCTCGACACGCACGATCTCCGCAGAGGGAAGCGTTTCGCGGCGGTCCGGCGGCACTGCCCCCGGCCTTAAGAGAGAAAGTTAAGAAGAGCGAGAGGTGAAGATGTGAGATGTAGATGAGAGGTAAAGATGTGGTAGATGTGAGGATGTGAAGATGAGCAGAGATGTATAGATGTGCAGATGTGAGCATGAGCAGAAATGTAGATGTGTGAAGATGAAGATGAGCAGAGATGTCGATGTGAGGCTGTGAAGATGTGCAGAGATGTAGATGCGCAGTTGTGAATGTAGATGTGAAGATGAGCAAAGATATGTGAGAATGTGGATGTGCGGAGGTGAAGATGTGAAGATGTAGATGAGACGTAGTTCTGCAGATGTTTTTTACGAAGAACCCTTCGCAGACGCTCTCGGGAACAAAAACGAACAAAAACATACAAAAGCCATGTTGAGGCAGTCAGATGGCGCAGCTCAAACTGCTGCAGCTTACGGTTGCTCGCTTCCAAGGATCGATAGTATCCGCGGACAGTATGGCTTAATGAGAGGCCCTCGAAGAGCATGAACAACAACAGCAATGACCTGTTGTGGCATTTTTGGGACACCTGATCACCCCAAAGGTAAAAAAGAGAGATTGTGGTCCCCCAGCCCCAAGCGTACGCTTATTGAAGGTTTTTGAAGCCCCCAACTAAGAGGGAACGTTCAAAAGGTGTACATGAACCAAAAAGCATTCAAAAGCGTTTGGTTGCTCAGCCATCCGAAGCGACCAAATGACCATCAGATCTTCTGCGGGATTGAGCACGCCAAAAGTGCCAGCCAAAAAGACACATACACACAGATTGCATACAGTGAAACCTAGCATCAAGGGCTTCACCTGCAAGATTCTGGATTTTCCGCTGGACACTTCTGGATGAGCCTTCAGAAATGCAGCGAGCTCGAAGATGCACCACAATCGATCCGCATACGATTCGTCCCAAACGACAAGAAGGGATTTGGAAGCCTTCAGCATAGCTCCAATGTTCATGATTCCCTCAGCCTTCATGCGTCCATCAAATTGATTGATGCACATTCTATCAACAAACACTAAGCGGTGAGATCTCCAAAATATCAGGGTCGACAGCCCAAGGGTCATGCCAACAACAGAACACCAAAAGGAAAACTGGAACTCGAGCTTGACAAAGCCAGGTAGGAAACCGAACTGCCAAAGTACCACCATGAGCAAAGCTCCCGAAGTACCGATCACGCTGGCAGGAAAGCCATTTTTCAAGATCATCAGGAGCAAGACTTTCTTCCAGCTTTCGACCTGCCAGCTATGACTCAAGAACTCATCATAAGATGTCGTCTCCTTGCTGAGCTGAAAGAAATCTCCCTCCGCCGTCCAGAAGACCTTCCCCACACACGCCAGCACTCGATGCAGGGGCACCGCCCGCATGATCTCGGGGCGGGTGGGCTCCATTCGCTCAATCATGGCCACCAGCCGCGCGAGCCGCGTTTTGGCCAGGTCGGAGTCCACGTCTGGCAGCTCGGCCTTGTGGCTGGCTTCACGGATCGACGATCGGATCGGTCATGTTTTTCCTCTGCGGATCTGCCGTTTTGGGGGCAAAAAGGATAGATCAAGCTTCGCCGGGGTTGAAGGATCCCGTCAAAGTGCAAAACGCATCTCCTTGCAAGGCCCAACATCGCCAACAGATTGGAGCCTCAAATGTCAGAATACGTCAGAATAGTTTTTCTACATGTGAAAAAAAAGAAGCGAACATTCCGTCCCCTTCTTTCTCAGCCCAGCCGACCCACACACCTCCCGTTCAGGATGGATGAGTCATCCTCGTTTTGGGGGGGCTCTCTCTCGGACCTGGACCGGAAGCCAACGATCATCCGCGGTGTGGAGAATGATTAGCTGGCGATTGGCAATCCCAGAATTTCTAGCCAAGGGGTTCGGGAACTGGGAACTCCCTGTAGCTTCTGGGTTCCCTGAATGGAAGAGGAAGATGGATACCCAAAAGGCGACCCCAGGTCAACCGCTCGCTCCGAGCACCAGCTCGGTTGATTGAATTCTGCCTCATCTGGGACGCACTCTTCCAAATCAATGTCCTCAAAGTCGTCACTCACCTCGGCAGCGAACCAAGGACGCCATGCGCATCCCCCGGCCGGGGTCCTTCCCAATGCGAAAGGATCCCCGGTTCCAACTGTTTTGTACATAGAGGATCTTAACTGCAATATATTGGAATAACATGGAATAACCTGGCAACTAGGACCCTTCATGTGGTTCTTCGTTTCTGGTCGGGACTGGGTTTCCAGGTTGTCATAGAATTGCCGCCAATGACATGAAGAAAGAAGAAAACGTGTCCTCCAACCGCCCGCACCCTGCAAGCGCCCTCGCCCTCACTCTTGCGCCCAGGCGCCACATGGTGTGCTGTGTGCCCTTCCATGGGAAGATCTTCGTTGGGGCTGGTCCTGAGCTGAGCTGGGCCAGCAACAAAAGGCTCAGAAGGAGCAAAAGAGGTAGAGCGCCCCCTCCGAGGGCCCGGCAATCACTTGCGCACTGGGAATTTACATCACTTGCGCACTGGGCATCAATCACTTGTGCACTTACCTGCTTCCTGGCTCCGGGGTGGGGCGTGCTCCACATGCAACTAATGAGTGGGTTGGGGTGGGGGGTGGGGGGTGGGGTGGGGGGGGTTGCAGTTGCCGACCATACAGTGTGACTCCGAGGTTTTGAATATAGGTTGCCAGGACAAGGTCAACATCTTTACACCCACACACTCTGACATTGGTTTGCAGTTAACTCAATTCCCAGGAAAAATGGCGATGGAACCGAAAGGTGAAAGAGTCGGAGCACTTGAAGGTGTTTTAACAAAGGAGTTGTTCACTTGACTGCGGAAGCTAGTTACTGCATTAGCCCTTTACTGCAAGAACGGTAAGGTGCAAGGTCCGAAGAGCAGAACTGTTTAACAAACGCACTAGCACTTTACCAAAGCTAAGGAAACCTGTTTTGGGGGATATCATGCGAACAACCACCATGGAAACAACAAAAGGAAAAGTGGAGTCACAGCGTGTGCAAAAGTTTTCATCCGCGCAGGTACAGAAGTTTGCGTCCAAACTTCCATCCAGTCGATTTCCCTAGCTTCGTTGGCGTGACTAGGAAATCGACCGCCACGCCCCCTGCGACTTAAAAGTTGAGAAAAACAGAAACTCTTAGTTACAGAGGTGGACACACACAGAACGCCGATATCGGCGCTCTGGGGGAACTTACTAATCACCTAAAAAGCCTTAGAAAAGACAGAAAGGAAAACGCAAAGGAAAGAGAGAAAGATAGGTGTAGTGACAAGGCCCACTAGTTACGAAACCTGCTAGTTACTGACTACTTAGCCGAGTGAATTAAATGCAACAGTTAGCAAGCGGGTCATACGTCTTAAACCGCCCGGGTAGCTGGGAGTAGAAAAGGAGAAACAGAAGGAAAGGTACCGACACACAAGTGTGTCGAGTACCATTTCCTTCTGTTACCCTAGATAGCGGGTGGGATAGAAACACGAATTAGGTTGCAAGGTGGGGGGGTGGGCTGGAAGTGCAAGTGTGGACAGTAGCTTCACTGGTCTCAATTCCTCACATGGAAATGCAGCACATGGAAATGCAAGTGGAGATGCAAGTGGAGGTATTTCGTAAGCCCGACGGCATCAAATTCAGTAAATCCAGAAAATCCAAAGAGAGGTGGAGAACGGTGGGGTCAGTTACACGATTTCCGGAATGAAAACAGCGCCTCCT